AAAACAACCAAACAACACACGCACCCTACAATTTGGTTCCATTATAGCAGGGCTAAGAATAGTTCTTCCTTTAACAGACTGACTACTAAGGAACCTCCCTGACTCCTGAGAAGCCTGGGGTATTCTTCAGCTTCCTGCTATTGTGCCTGTGTTGGGAGTGGAAGGTAGGGGTTAACTGAAATCACTCTTGCTACAAGCATCCAAGAACAGCAGGAAATAATAAAAAAAATCTATTACATGCAGATTACATAACTGCATGTTAGATGTCATGTAAAACAAGTGGGGAAGTGGCCAACAYTCAGCATGACACAGAGCCACATCTGAAGTTCCTGGAAATTCAACAATATGTCTTAGGCTTTCATATTTATACAACTGCAAAGATTTTTGTGAATGTGACATTATGTTATCCAGTAAATGCTGTGGATATTTTCTTTTCATTTCTGCATTCAGACACTTTGCACCTAAATCATAATATTGTAGCCTACGATGAACAAAATAAAAACAACCCATATGTGGACAGTGAGAAAGTTTAGAAATTTGGGTCTGATATCTTCCTTGCATTTCTTTGCCAGCAAATATGCAAGACAGAACTTTCTTGGCTGTTTGTATACACATGCTAAGGATTTATCCTCCTCAAAGGAGAAGCTGGGCTTGTGCAGGAACCATAATCAGCATATACAGACAGTCACTTTAAACATGGACTAGTCCCACAACACTGCTGTTATTTCCAGAACATAGTACTTATGAAAATCTGTTTATTTATAGAAGAGGTATTTCTATGAGCATATTCAAATACTATGATTCTAATGAGTCTTTATGTATTTATGTATTTCTGGATAATGTGTTTGCCTATTGCAACTTTTAATGTTCAGTTCATCTGATCTACTAGGAAGGAAGATTTAGTTGCACCACTACTTCATGTGAAGTTGTTAACATCTGCCAATCAGAAAATTTAAGGAAGCTCAAAAGCAGTAAGGGAAATGATAAACTGAGCCGATTTCTAACTTGCAGCATTTGTTACTTAATACTGTCATGTGGTAAAAAAAAAAACTCACTGACAGAGCAAAACACGTAATGATTTCTGCATGTGACTACAACTACACATGAAAGCGTCCTTGCTGCTGCGAACCAAAATCAAACAAGACAAATTAAGAGAGCTTTTTTCAAGAGGAGGTATGTCTCTCTATGTTGTGTGTTGATTTTCTTGCGCAACAGAAGAGTTTTTGCTCTAGAATGCAAATGTTTGCCAAGGATTAAGTTAGGTACAATCATAGTTGTACATGTAAAAAATCTGGATTAGCTTCCTTCCAGTTTAAGAAATTCTAGAGAAAATTTTGAGGATTCTTTAGTTTATTTGATTAAAAGTAGAAATGTGTGTACACAAAATTTCTAAAGGCTTCTGCAAGCTCCAGGGAAGACCATGAAATGTCTATGACGTCTGTTTCCTATTTGGCATTTTTTTATCTGACATCTATTTTTCAATAACTGAAAGAAATGCTATTTTCGGAACTCTTTCTATAAAATTATCTAACTAGAAATATGTGGTTTTCTATTTCTTTGGGGGTAAAAATAAAGTAAATCACAGAATCATTGGATGGTTGAGACTCGAAGGCACTTCTGGAAATTATCCTATTCCCATCCTTGCTCAGAGCAGGGTCAGCTAAAACAGGGTTCTCAGGGCTTTGTCTCCAACAATGGAGATTTCAAAGCTTTCCTGAAAAACCCATTCAAGTGGTTGACTCCCTCACAGTAAAAGGGTGTTTTCTTGTGTTTAAATTGAATTTCCACTATTTCAGTTTTTGTCCATTGCTTCTTGTCCGGTCACTTGTCAGCACCAAGCAGAGTCTGGCTCCATCTTTCTCATTCCTCACAGTCAGGTATTTGTACACATGGATAACACCTTGCAGAATGAACAATCCCAGATTTCTCAGTCTCTCCTCACATGTCAGAGCTCTTAATCATCTTTGTGGTTATTTGTTGGGCTCTTTCCAGTAGCTCCATATCTTTCTTCTTCTGGGGATCCCAGAACAAGATCTGGCACTCCAGGAACACCTCTCTTGCTCTGCTGGCAGTGCTTTGCCTCATGCAGCCCACGGTGCTTTTGGCCATCTGTTCTGCAAGGACACATTATTGTCCCACATCCAGCCTGTGCTGTCCCTGCAAAGCTGATTTCCAGCAGGTGCATCTCAGCCTCTGCYGGTGACAGAGCTTGTTCTTTCTCAGGTGCAGGTCTCAGCACCTTCCTTTGCTGAATTTCATGAGATTCTTGTCATCCCATTTCTCCAGACTGTACAGRTCCCTCTGAAGAATAATAGTGGTATACCACTCACTGCTCCAAATTTTGTTTCATCTACTGAAATCAGAATGCTGATCTAAAAACATGAAATAATTGTATTTAGGCAGCAGTAATATTTCATTGCTTGATATGTAAGATTTTTATTACTATTTTAATGCTTCCAGGAAGGCTTAGCAAGTGTATGATATTCTCCACATATCTGCAGAGAATCCATTTGTACTCACATCACCCTAGGAGTAAAATACAAAGTTTATTTYCTGGAAGTGTGTCATGGGCAGGAGTAATCTTTCCAGAGCCACTCAAGCAAGCAAGTCCCTGGTCTCAGGTGACATTTCCTGGTAGCATCCTGCACTCAGTCTAAGAGCAAAAACAACAGACAGTTCAACAGGGTAAGAGTGCACAAACTGATGGAGATTAAGTCAGCATTTAATGCATGATTTCTGTAAAAACTAGCACAGTCCATGTGACTGCATTTTCCCTCTGACACATTGATAAGGTGGATAGACTGGGTTTACAAACTCTCCTGGAGAGAACAAAAGAGTGAGCCAAGAGTTGAAGATTATGGAAACCAGGTTCCCCTGTGCAGCAGGGTAGACACATCCTTGTGAGGTTGGCAAGGGGAGGAAAAGGAAAGAAACAAAGCAGGAAAAAAAATATACAGTTTGGGGATTACCAGATTCCATTTTACCTCCTATTTTGATGAAATATGAGGAAATAGTGCCTACTGGAGAATATATATGGTTCTTCTGGTCTCATCCTCCAAATAGCTCTCACAATCAGTTTAAGTGTTCCTTCTGGCACCTTCAATACTGAGATTTCTTCCCAGCAGAGAAAGTTTTACCACACCTGTCTGCATAAGACCAGTCTAGGAGAGAGTGGAGGTCCTGGAGGCAAAAAATATTCCTGAAGATTTGATGCTGGAGTCACTTGTTTGGTTACCACCTAAATGGCTTAGGGCTCCCCACAGTTCCTACATCTCTCATCTTCCCTGCAGGCAGAAAAGCCAGAGGACCTGGCAATGTGTTGGGACATCCAGCTGGGATGATAGGGACAACACAATGCAACACTAATCCTTTCTTGTGCGGTTTGTTTTAAAAGTAGGTCAAATGTGAAACACAAATCTTTTAGGAGGCAAACCCCCTTAGTGCTGTGGTCAATGGAAATGGTCATTTCTTATGGAGAAAGTGAACATTTACAGGCCCTGCTATTCCCACTGCACATCCAATGAAATGTCCAGAGAGTGGACACAATGATGCCAACAAACATTTCTCTAAACAGACAGGGCTGCAGAGAATTCCCATGGCAGTGTCCCAGATGAGTGTTTCCATAAAAAAGTGTGAAGAGTACTTGGAGCATGGGCCTGCTGTCATRTGTAGGAAATCCAAAGATGATTTTGAAGGCATAGGAGTTATAAGAAGAGACAGATGGAGATGACAAGAAGAATTAAACAAAGACAATAAAGGAAAGGTGAGCAGTTCCCAGAGAATAGGAAAACAAATGCCTGGGAAAGGAACATAAAATGAGGGAAGAAAGGAGAAAATATTGAGTGACTTAACAGATGGACCAAAATGGAAAAAAAAATATGATTAAGAAGATCCCARTGTTCTCATGTGCATTACTGGGTAGCTTCCTGAGAGCATGGGAAAGTTGAAATTATTATTGAGATCCATATCTCCCAGAGCATTTAATGGCCAGTCCTCCCTACTGTTTGTACTTGAGATTCTTCAATATCACTTCCCAGCAGCCTTGGCCACATCCTCACTGCAGCATCATGATCTACAAATATGGGTGATAAGCAGGTTACAGWGAAGAATCTGTCTCTGTGGCAACCCCAGCACGGTGTCCTGGCCTGGCTTGAATCCTGGAGACCCCAGTGGACACGTCATGTCAAGCCAATTTCCAGGGAATGTGGCATGAAATATATAAGACTACAGGACAACTAGCTTTGGACATCTGGATGGGTTTTTTTTCTTTCACCACAAGTGGAGTCAGTTTGAAACAGCATTCTGAAATGACCATAAAATTTAATACAGAAGGGCAGACTAGTAACAAATATTGCATGTTTCTATTTTTGCTGGTTTTGTAAGAATTTATATCAGTTTTAGAGTTATCCTTAGGAATATCTGTGATCAAGAAAATTGCTACTCCAAAGTTGCACTATTGGGCAATGCTAAAACAAACAAAAATTTAACCAGAGGTGCTTCTTCATGTAGGAAAAAAAATTGCTGGGAATAGAGAAATATCTTCCAAAGAGTTTTAACTCCTCTGAGAAAAGAAAAATTGTACATAAGATGAGAATTGTTTGACAAGAGCTGATGCCAGTGTCTGATTAGCTTTGCTCAGTCCTCCACACCTCATGAATCAAAGTGAAATCGCCCTTTGCAGGTACTCACACTTCCTTAGTAATTTAAATTGGCCACCGTGGTCTGCAACATCTGATTCCTCAGTTTCTGACAAAGCAAGCAGAAATTTGAAGCAGACTGTTCTGGATGGATGCAAATCTATATGAACAGTGGGAGTTATGCAGTTTGAAAGGTRGAGAGCCATTTGTGATAACAAACAGGAAAAAGTACTGTAGTGCCCTGGCCTTGGCTGGCCACCTGCTGTCCGCCAAGCCGCTCTCTCACTCCCCTTCTCCTTTGTTCTCTAYTTCCCATCAGCAGACAATAYCCARCCACTCCCTGGGCCATGGGGCCTCAGTACACATAGCAGTTCCTTTAGGAGTCAAATGCCTGGATAAAAAATACCTCATCCCTCTCCAATCTTTCTTCTTTTATTGCTGAACATGATGCCATATGAGGTGGAATATCCCTTTCAGTTGGGTTCAGCTGTCCTGGCCATGTTCCCTCCCAGCGTCTGGCTCACCCCAATCCTACTGGGTTTTACAAAATGGGTAAGATGGGGTTGGAGAGAGAACCCTGATGCTGTGCCAGCACTGCTCAGCAACAACCAACACACTGGTGTGTTATCATCATTCTAGCAACTAATACAAAGTACARCATTGTGAGGTCCATAGGATCAGAAATCAAGAAAACCTGACTTTCTCATGGTATAGTTAGCACAGAGACGTGGGAAAACAGTCATTCTAAGTCATGGTTTCTGCACTAAATGTAGTGAGAGTATGTATCATTATGAAAGTCTGTGGCCTCTTTATCTCAAACTACTGTGTAGTTATAGGCAGAATAATGGATATTCAGTTCCTTCAAAGAAGAGGYGCCTGCCAGACATCCTGAAGCACACCCTCTGCTTGGCTTTTGTAAACAATGTTTAAAAAAAATTAGTTTTGCAAAACCAAAATACATTTTATCATGATTTTCTTTTCCTTTTTTTTTTCTTTTTCTTTCTGAAGGTTTCATTATCTCTTTCCAGAGAAGGAAATATGTTTGATATTCTTGGACTCATTTGCATGATTTGGTGGTRTATGATGCTATTTCATCCCTTGCATGCTGACATCCAATGTATGGAGTGTAAGTATGTTTTTGGAGCTATAACCTGGGAAACAAGGTCTAACCCTTCACTTATCAGATATTTGCAATGAAACTGGCAATTGTCATATTAAACCTGCATTCAACAAAAGCAATAGTGTATCCTTACCGAACTTATGCTGCAACACTTTCAGCCGACACACAAGAATCACCTATTAGGAATGTGAATGTGAACTGGAGAAAAATGGAACTGTCCTGGGAGAGCAGCAGGAATTTCTCAAAGTACACATGTACCATCRTGGACAGGGACATGGAAAGTCTAGACGAAGAGGTAAACTTGCTATTTACTGGGATAAATAATGGTACTTTTTATCAATTTCACTYACTTTGAAAGAAATGAATGTCACAGAAAACATCTGATGTGCCTGCAGCCAAAAGYTTGACCTGTCAGGGGCTGAGGAAAGCCATCAGCAATGCCAAGGTGYATTTACTGTGGTATGATTTACTAAAGAACTGAAATTCTGGCAGCAAAGTGGAAAGGAAGTGAAAGCCTGAACTGCACCTATGTTGAGTCATGGGTAGGGATGTAGCTGCTGAAAAAAGGGGCAGTGAGACTTCTAGAGACTTTAAAGTGACAGAACAAGAGACACCTCAAAAAAAAAAAAAAAAAAACAAAAAAACAACCCTGCCAACTCCACCATGGATTTTTGTTATTTTAAATTCTTCTCTTGTTTCACAGTAAACTAGATCATGCCTGTAGCACAGGTTATGTTTTAAACCCACATTATCCAAAGAAAAAAAAATAGGAAGACTGAGAGAGATAGAGATGGCTTATTTATCCTAGCAAAGCAGATGCCTTAGAAATCCATATGACAAAATAYATCACATCTTTATTGAAGATTCCAAGTATAGTGCCATAGACACCTTTTTAACCCCGGGCAGGTTAGACAAGGACTTCTAATTTGCTTAATCCTTTGATTAAATTCCTTTGTGTCTCCCCTATTTATTAGCTATCTTCTGCTGTGCCACTGGGGTACTTTTAGTCTCCTAAAAAGCTGCAGACTAGCTTAGCATCCAATTCTCAAGCTGAAAAGCTTTCTGTGTTGCTATGTTTTCGATCCCTCAATTCTATTCTACATCAGCCTTRAGTGCTAAAGGAGAGAGCTGGCTCTTGAGCCTAAAACACACATACACATGTAATTATGTTCCTTAGGTGCATTTCTATTGACAGCATCATCTAACATCAAAAGAGGAGAAGCAGCGAAATAAAACAACATGTTGTCTTTTCAGGTGAATAGTCCTCTATGCAGCTTTCCAGTGGAACTAGACATGCCTCTGCACAAAGGAGTGTTCTTTATCATTAAAGTGCCAAACACAAACATCTCAAAAGAATGCACCTTTCTCCCTGGAGGTAATGTATATGGTCTGGCTAAGGTTTTCTCCATTTGCAATAGTTTAAAGGTAAACATTGCCTTAGAAAACAGTTACTTACACAGAGGGTAACTTCTATATTTTCTATTAAAAAACTTTTTTTTTTGTCAAGATCTGTTAAAATTATTTGCTCCGTAATAAATGGAGATGAAAGGAAAGGAAGATAAGATTTTCCACAAAAGGAAAATAACAAGTCACTGTCACCCACATGAGGGTGGAAAGCTCTAAAGAGAAGGCTGCTTGATTGGAGAGCAGCAAAAAGTCCAACCTTGCTTTTAAAAGTCTCAGTTTTTATAATCCTCTGTGCAGACACTTCAGGAGTGGATTCCCAGGAGGGAGAAATGCTTTCTCTGCAGCAGCATGGACAGTGTTAAGGCACTGTGCCTTCCTTTACATGTGGAATGCCTCTTTTACTGACAGGTTTCACAGTTCAGAGGCAGATGAAATGGAGAGGGAGTAGAATTTTCTCACAGTTGTCATTCCCAACGCAAGTAATAACTAGCTGGGTCTGCAGTTGTCTCACTTATCTAAGTGTGTGCCATGATCCCCCAGCTTGGAGGAGTCACACTRTTTTTYCTCAYCACAGATATTCCTGTGTTTGYAGGCATGAATGGRTCAGCCATTGAAAACTTCTCCTGTGTGATCTAYAACATTTTCCTCATGAACTGCACTTGGCAGGCAGGAAGGGATGCTCCAGCAGACACACAATATTTCCTCTACTGGCAGAAGTCAAGGTAAGCAGGTCTGCTTGAGCCAGGGAATTCTGAATTCTCATTCAACACATCACAGTGCCCTTGTTTAAYTAAAATGCTTTGCTGTAGCAGAGATGATGAGGAGATGGAATGTGAGCTTTACATTAAAGATGAAAATGGCAGAAATATGGGATGTATGTTCCAAAATGTGAGCATGGGGACTAAAAAAGCTTACTTCATGGTGAATGGGTCTAGCAAAGACTCCCGGATCCAGTTCTATGATGAGTACATTGACCTGCATAAAATTGGTAAGTAACTGAACCTTTTATTATTGTTTTATATAATAATTAAGTGGGGATTTTTTCTCTGAAAAGAAGATTRAAACAAAGTTGTAGCCATTGCAGGATCCTGCACTGCAGGGCAGACTTTACTTCTAACAGCTGACAGAATATAGTTCCAAAACTTAACTAAAACAATCAAAGGAAGAGTCAGCATGGAATAATTGAACAGAGAAGTGGTGTGGACATACCCATGGATTCCAAGTAATGAAATGCAATGGTTAGATTTTCAAGGTCACCTTTCTTAAGGGCTTATTTTACCACCCCTCAGTYTCAMACCTCTMTGAAWGCCACAGGAGCTCAGGTTGTAAATYAAGACTGTGTTAGTTAAATRTGTGGGTACCTCTGTGTGARCTAGGTGTTTAAGCTCCAAGAGAAATCCGGAGTGGGATTCAGTGATCTAAAAACATGCACTCAGACATTTGGGACATCCACCAGGCTTGCAGATGTAGCCTGGGCCCTATGAGACAGAAGGCTCCTCCTGAGTGTCCTGTGTGGTCTGAAATGCTCACATGAGAGTGACTCCTGCTTGGAGCTGATGCAGACTGTGAAGCTCAGAGCTATCCAGGCAAGCACACCTGCTCTGTGGTGGCCCAAAGAGTTCTGCAGATATCCTGGGTACTACAGATGAGGCCTCTGGTGACCACAGTGGTTAGACACCCAGGTCAYACTGATATACTGTAGGCACTCAAATTCAGATGCCTTGAATGCATCATGAACAGCACCTCATGCAAAAGCTTCCTTCCTTTTTTCCATGGAAACTTGCATTGCCAACGTGCAAGTGGAAAACAGATGTAGAAGAAAATGGCACTCTGCTGATTGCACTACTGAATTACACAAAATCCTTCATACTTTTTTTTACATGAACTTCATTTACTTCAGATAGCCAACAAATGCAGTGATATATTCCCAAGCTTTTTTGTTCAGGTATTTTACTGCTGTTAACCAGATAACTTTAGTTAGCATCAGTAGCACACAGTTGTGTTGCCTCACCTTCACACACATTTTTCTGGGAAGGCATGAGTTGCAGCTGATTATTGCCCATGCCTACAATAATTATTCRATTTTCTCCCCAGAAATACTCACTGCTCCATTAAATGTCACTGCCCATTGTCCCAGAGATTCAGCGGGTTGTGTAATTACGTGGCACCCACCCCTTACAAGTTATGTGGAGAAAGCAAAGTGTTTTCAGTATGAAATCAGCATACAAAATAAGGTAAAAACATTTTCTTGGTTTGTCTTTGGTACTGTATCTATGCTYATGCATATCTATAATGTGTAAAGCTCTGATTCCTTTATTAACTTTTCTGTCATAAGCTGTGGTGTCCTGCCCCAGCTCTGCTGGTCTCACATCCCACCTCTCATGAACTTCTGCAGCTCAGAAGCTTACCATGGTAGCAATTTTTAAGGCACAAGACCATTACAAAAAGATCAGCTACGGGTTAAAGACAAATACACAACTGCAATAGGGCAATACTTCATTAAATCTCATTTGTTCAAAACAAGACCAACAGCTTGCAGACTGTTTGGATTATCTGGATTTTTTTTTAATGCATTAATAGTATCTACCTTGGCAGCTATTTCAAGGAGCAATTGCACTACTTATAGCTTTCCAGCTGGTTGCTACAATTTGACAGTAAGATCTTGTGTGAAATGCTTAGAAAGTTTTACATAAAGATWTAGATACAACATAGCAATATTATCAAAACATTTCTTTGAAASAAATACAGATGAACTTTTCTTTCCTGTGCCACAGTTTGAATGGGTGGGGTTAGGTGTATATTTCTACATTTGGCTATGAAATTCATCTCCTAGACTGAGACACCTTAATGTAGGTGTCTGCAAAGGAGCATGAAGAGCCAGAACACATTAGGGCTCCCTGCAGTGGAGCAGGAGGTGCCTCATGCCCTTCGAGGCACTGAAGGTACCAGAGATATGGACATGGAGATGGGCAGACAGAACTCACACCTTTCAGGAGGGGCTGACACAGGTGAGACAGCCCAAACACACCACACATCTGACATTTCAGCAAATCRTTTACACCCTGTTCATTCACAGCACAGGCTGGTGACTTCCATCATGTCCTRAGCTCAAAGCACTCATCTGRCAGTGAGTGATGGGGAAATACTAGWCTGCTTTATRATRCAAGACACAGAGTGGGTGTGTTTTCTATAATGAGACATTCCTTCCAGTTATGCCTTTCTGACCTTTCCATAATGCTGGCTATCCTACTGATATTACACAAGATAGATATTTCCAGGACTTCAGCTTCTCAATGCTTTCTGAGGTCATTGCTAAAAGTCACTGCTATTSAATCTGTTCACTCATTTTTGAACCTACCTTCCTCTTCAAATTTTTGAGGTTCTTTTATCCAGATCAGTTTGATTCCAGTTAATTAAATTTGATCAATTTGATTCCATTTAACTACATTTTGATTGCATAGGATGTGTAAGTAGCTCTTCACAGAAAGCCCCTGAGCATGTATGTCAGATGTCTAACAGGGACTTTGACTGAAAGGAGGACAAATTTGCTATTTACATCAATTTCTGCCCCAGATTATCAAACTATTGTGAAACCACAGCTTTCAGATCTGCTGTGTTTGTAGGATGATGYGATTGTTGCATAATTTGAATGTGGATGAGACTGCACAGTGTGTGTAAAAATACCCTTGGTGGCAAATACAGCTTCTCACWTCTACTGGTAAATAATTAATGTTTCCTTCCCTTTCTGAAAAAAACCCAGTAGGAAGACAAAATTCTGAATAAAGTGCTGTTATTCTGGGWCATTACTGGAGAATAATATCCAATTGATTTGTCAGTTAAAAATAATTTATGATCTTCAAAAACAACAAAATAAGAGAATTATTTGATAAGATAACAATAAAGATTTGTCTTTGTTTTGCAGGATGAGCCAAACAAAGAGAAAAATCTTCTTCGTGTAAGTATTCTCGTYACATACAGATTTGTGGTTTGGCCTACTTAAGCATATAAATACCCTTACAGAAATTACACTTCTAGAACAACAGGTTTTGTATCAATGTAGCAGTGATAAAATATGAAAAACATGGTCCTCTGATATCTTTAAATAGAAGCTTAATTCATCATTTTTGGGTAAGATAGGCAGAATTTTCTATGCATTTCACAAAACTCCATACATTCTATCTATTGCACAAATAGATGTTGCTCCCAACCAATGTGACATTTTTCTTACTAAAAATCTGAAACACTCTCTTTCTTGTTTTGGAATAATACCACTGTAGCTCAGGACAGCTAGACAAAGGGAGAAAACGATCTTCAAAACCCCAGGAAGTTAAAACATAATGTCAATCTTCCCAGGACAAACGAGTGCTCCTTTCAGCCTTGGAAGGGCTTGACAGATTCCAGACTTTGTACAAAGTATTGTGAGGCTAGATAATCCCTCTCTATTACTGTATTGTCTCAAAAAACATTACATCTTTTTAGCAAAGAGACACCATCCATGCCTGTTTAAYCCCCATTAAATTTGCAAGGGCAGTTTACAGGTTACTTCTCCAAATTCTGCTTTGTGTCTTTCAGATTTCTTGAGGATCCACAAACAAGGACACTGAAAAACAGTGTCCATAAAGCACAATAAAATAAATCAAAGACCAAATAAACTACAGATAATTTTTAACCTTTAAAAACCAGACAATTTCACTGGCAAGATAAATGTTTAACTAGTATGTCCCTAAAACAATCATACACATCATTTTCTTATAGAAACTGTATCAGGAAATTACCCTCAACTTTTGTTAATATCTGTCTATGAAGTGAAATGCAGAGTCTGATTATTTTGCTTTTAGATAAGGAATGACAGATATGAATTCCAAAATTACAATGAGAAAAAAAGATACATTCTGAAAATCAGAGCACGTGGAACAAGCTGTCATGCAAGCTCAAACTGGGGGGAATGGAGTGAACCCATTGAGTTTGGTAAGACTGCTTTTTTTTCCCCCTTTCTTCCTCACAGAAATGAATAAARTTTTAATTTTTATCTAATTATATGGAAATAACTAGGTAGATTTTATTAGTATGGAGAAGAAACTCCAATAGTCTGGCAGTAAAACCTTTGATTAGCTGGGATTGTGAAGCAGTTACTCAGATGCCAGGGCTACAGCAGACTGAGATAGACCCACTCTGGTCTGCTGTGATGAGGCTGCCTCTCACTTCTCTAAGTTTTCACCATGACTATCATCCCCTCCCTTCTATACCTTTCTTTTCACCCTTTCCAGGAATTTTGCTCTGTTGATTGTTCTGTAACTCTGTTTATTCTTCTCCTCTTCCAGATTTTTTAAAATTCTCTAAATTTCAATTCTTTAAATTTTAAATATTTGAAGGAGTTTAAAATGCATCAAGTCTATCTGCATTTTTTGACTAAATTATTTAAGAAAATCAGGTTGAAGTCCTTTGGAACATGCAAATAATTTAGTGAAATTTGCATTCATTATATCATACAGTCACAAAGACAGTTTTTTGCCATGCTGAGATAATTCCCTCTCTTGGATGTTTCAGGTCAAGGGAAAGATTACCTTGTTTTAGTGATTTTATTTTTGATTGCACTTGGAACAATCGCAATTGTACTTCTCCAGTATTGTCTTTTCAAACGGTAAATCAACCTTTTCTCTGTAGACACTATGATAAGAGTATTATGTATATGAAACACATTCCTCCAACCTCCCATTTTCCTACTTGCAATTTAAATAATCTGATTATCAATGTCATGACCTATTACCACCTGGATTGCTGTGGATGGTCCTTTGGCATGCAAATCACTAAGTGGAAAAGGGGGAAAAGATGTTAAAGTTATTAAATGATTGATTCTACCAGATCCTACAAAAGCTTTTCTGTTCTTACTTTTAAGCATTTAACATGCAGGTTTCTTTGAAGCCATTGGTTTTATACAGTACCAGAGAGAACCCAGATAAATGAATGTACTTTTATTTTGATAAAACCCCTCACTCAGTGGTGAAAGTTATGTCACGTGATTTATTCAGTCACTGATTAATAAAATATTTACTGTGATTCTAATCACAAAATAAATYTTAGTAACCCAAATAATAAATGTAATAATAGTCACCCACCAGTTACCCCACTAAAAATATTTTACTTCTCATTTAATTTGTAGAGCAATAAATATTCAATCTCAAAAGTAAAAAATGTCCTTATGTTATAACACAAAATGTTTGTGTGTATTTTATTAGCAATATTTTAAATTCCTCCACAATCCCATTTTCTATCCAAAGGTACTGCAGTTTCAGCAAGATATTTCCTCCCATACCACAACCAAGAGACAAATTTAGTCAATTAACTGAAGAAGACAACCAGGTATGATTTCTTTTCAATTCAGTCATATCTGTTAACTACAAACCACAACAGGCCAAACTTTTAAAAACAAGTGTTACATTTGGTCCAAACCTTCTGTCATGCAAGGTATGCTGCTTTAAAACCTGAAATGCTCTTTGCCAGTGTTGAAACAAATTATTGTCCTGTAGGTATTTGCAGATATGTTTTAAGACCAGAGTTTTCACTTTTACTGAGATGTATCAGCTTTGCATAGTTGCCATCCATACTTCAAAAATAACCTGAGAAAGCATTTTTCATTAGCATTTTTAAACATCAATGGTYCTAATATAATGTGAATATATTATGAGTGAACATATTGTAAGAATATTTAATATACAGGTGAATATATTGAATATTTTATAAGCCTGATCTATATGCATGTAGAAAAATCGTGTTGCACTGAATGCAAATCAACAGGGCTGAAAAGACTGAACAGTTTAACCTTCCTTGTTTCAACACAGCAATTTCACTGTTTTTTGAAAATTTTATTTGTCCAATATACTGTAGCATCCCTGTGCAGCCTACTCTGTTTAATAAGCCTTACTTTTAAAAAGCTTTTTGAACAGCCTGCTTTACTGCACTTAAAATCCATTACTTTTTTTTTACTCTTATTCCTTTCTTGTTTACAGTACCTTACACACTTGCATACTGTCAGCAGCAAGTAATTCTTCCTGTGTTTCTACACATGTCATGACAACCAGGCTTCAAACCATTCATGCTTCGCAAATCCTTCCATTTGAGAGTGGTTTGTGTGGTGACTGCATAGTGAGGGGATTTTCTCTCAGTTGGTGAAACAAAAACATCCTTGAAGTCAGTAAATCAGGTTAGTCATTAATTGCYGACAATTCAGTGGGCAACACCACGCATTCCAATGAGGCTTCCAAAAGGGACACATAAATTTTCCTTCAATTTTTAATAAAGAATACCAAAACTCTAAACTAAAACTCTRGTTTTGGTAACCATATACCAGCACATTGTCCTGATTCGTCTTTGGTCCTACCACCTCTGGCTTTCACAGAAAACAGGTAGGAATGTAACTCGGATAGGTTTCCTCACACATTTTAAGTCGTAAATACCTGATAKCTCACCTCCTACCAGGCTGTCAGAGCTAAGGCTACAGCAGCAGCCCACAGTCCATCATATTAAATAATAATAGCTGGGAAAGTAGCAGGCAGCCTTTTAAAAATTGCATACGGATTGCCTGCTTTTCCTAAACTTGAGTGGCTTCCAGATTCCAGTGCATATAATATCAAACAGGCTCAAATCCCTCCACTCCAACCCAGAGGCCTTTGTGGACGTGGTCTGTAAATTGGTCAGGCACTTCCATGCAGGAAGCAATGCAGCAGCAGCAGCTGCCAGAGTTAAGTGAATCCCTCACGTTGCCTCACACCTGCCAACAGGCACTGTGAAGATGATTTGTATGATTCTGACATGTTTAAACAGTTTGATCTACTCTTAAAACCTTTTATTTTACCTTTTCTCTCCAAACTCAGTACCTTTAACACGATTGAATGCTGTAATTTGTCAAAGTTATTAAAATAATAATACAGAAAGGACATTTTCAAAAGCTCTCCTACAAGGAATGCCAAACACTCTCACTGACATTTAGTGCTAATTGATTTGAGCTGTTTTGAAACCTGCAGTGTCCTTTGCTAATCACACTTTTTAAAGCTTGCATTTCCTTTTTTTGCCCCTATTTACTCCACCTTTCACATTTTCCCATTTTTCTCCCGTTTCACAATATTTTTCCCTAGATCACTGGAAAAGCTCATGATTTTAAAAAAAACCCTTTCTGAATTTGCATTTGTATCCTTTAAAAGACCCACGTTAAAGAAATGCCAACTTTCCTATTTGCTTTAAGATCCTACCAACCAAATCACGCAGTGCTTCAGGAAACTTGCATTCCTCTAATCCATTTTATTTTACTTATCTCTCCAGTCATTCTTTKTCCAGATTCTTTCCTCAGCATCACTGAGTTTTATTGCCTCTTGCCTGGAGTTAAATATATTCCAAGAACTTGCAAGATACACACTGTGCATTTTCCTTGGAAAACAATCAAGTAGCACAAAACACCATGATCACAAAGCCCTGCAGTGCTTTACCCATTCTTCAGATTTCCTAGAAAAAAAGTCCCTGAAACATCCTGGTTTGATGTTATGCAACATACCCTCAGTATGGCAGCAAGCTTGTTTTTTTAACCTTTGTTAACCTACCCCCCACCCCCACCCCATTCCATCCTTTCCTATTTATTATCTTCCCTCAATACTTTAAACTCCAAGTGGTCTGTGAGTACTATGATCTTACCTAGCAGCATGCATTCTCCTAGAACCCAGCTACACATCTGATAATGACCACATATGGAAAACTCAGACAAAACTGATGGAATATATTCTTATTGCCTCAGCTAAAATTGTCTAGCATCTAAATCCTTCTGTTCTTCCTCCTGCTGACAGCGAGTACTTATCATACGTATAGAAACCTTCCTTAAGCACCCTTGAAACTGTCTTCTACTGCTTTGCAATCATTTCTCAAATATTAAAAGAGCAAGATGGGAAACTACCTTGCTGAAATGATAATGTTCAGAATGATACCAACAGCAGCTTGTAGCTTACTGCATTTTACACAATTTTCTCTTTTAGACAGAATATGTGTATCTACCAACAAGTCATAATGAGGAAATAACTACAGTTGAAGAATGATCCAACTTTCCAAAAACACACTTGATTACCCAACATGAAAGAAAACTATGGATCCTGCTAACAAGTATTTCAAACCAGCTTATAAAGGAATAAAAGAATATAATATAGGATTATAAAGGAATATAAAGGAATATAATATTATAAAGGAATATAATTATAAAGGAATATAATCACCTATAAAACTGTTTGTCCCCTTAAAATGGAGAAAAGTGTGGGGGGAAATCTATGAAATTTGTTYGTTTCCCTTTGTTCAAACCCACAGTGCCTGGCAACTAAGCTTTTCTGCAAGCATCTACTTTGAAGACATGCTTCAACCTTGCTGGGAGCTTCTTCACATTAAGACAAGACCTCTTATTCAGAATAAAGCTGTTTTTTCTTGTCATCATTGCTGTGAAGCCTCTTTCCTCTTATGATGATTTCCTGTAGGCTGACAKGCCTGCTGTGTAGTGCCACAGTAATTTTGCTGCAATTTTTGTGCGCCTGGTTATTTTCTACAGCAGAAACTAACTATTTAGAATGTTTAAAATTCTAAAATTAGGTTTAGTCTTCCAACCAGCAACACCAAACTATCCCAATATATGCAATTAATCTCATCCAAGACAAAAGTGGAAAATAAAATTATACTTGTCAATTATAAGTATTAATACTGGTCTGTCAGCCATTTCAYGAGCTCAGTACTGCCACTGAAAATACAGACCACTGCAACATTGTGATTCTGCGCAGTTTTAATAGGTACTTAATTCACAGATAACATCTAAAGCCTTCAAAAAAATCTAACAGTTGTGAGAACTGAAATAAAATCTAGTCTTTAACAGGTAGATTTAAAATGTAAAATTTCCTCACAAATACATTTCAGTTACTCCTTTCAAAGAGTGGAAGTGCTACTTCCAATGCCTTTTAAAAATAATACAGGCTTTAGATGCCAGTATTTTCTTTTACAAATGCTGGATGTTTTCCTGTTCATATTTTTCAAAACAAATGAATTTCAGTGTTTCAGTAAGGCAGAGAACAAACGTTTTTTTTTTTTTAAAAGTCTCATTTATTGTTTGCCTCTTACATCCCTAAACTGCATCACACATTGGAAATTGCTGCTGCATGACTAAGGGAAGCCATGTATTTAAAAAAAAAAACCAAAAAACCAAAAAAAAACCCACAATCCTGAACACCATAAATTAGTTCATATTGAATGTATAGCATAGGGAAATTGCAGTGCCACTTAAACACCTACACTTGCATTTGTTTCTTGTCCTATTTCTTYTGGTTAAAAACTTGTTCTGAAGGGGAGATTGGGTGTAGAAGTCAGACCCTCTTAGAGGCTGCTGAAGTAACTCCATGTTTAGTTCTTCCACAAAGTTTGGGCCCCTGTCCACTACAGGGARGTATCTAATAATTATCTCCACCCTTGCAAGGCACTGATGCAGGAAAAAAAAAAAACCTAATCAATGTGTTTATACAGACAAAATGTTTTCCCCTGCTCCCCAGCAAACTGATTGGCAAGGTGAGCACCAAATGACCTGCTTGCACCACAGGGAGCTGCCATTGCCACACAGGACGTAAGAACCACTTGCAGTAGGTACATGATTTTTGCCATTAGTCTGTGTACAAAGGAGCTGTGTAATGTCTTTACATTCACAGATTGTGAAAGCAGTGCTTGTGCAACAGTGAAAGGAAAAAGATAAAATATGCTTGAGAGGAAGGTAATAACCAGCCAAAGCCAAGCAGGTAATTTAAATGTTTCATCTTGAATAGCAATCTCAGAAGGCACACAGAGGAACTCAAGACAGCCGAGTCAGCCTTCCATGAGTCATACAATGACACTTTTCCTTAAAGATATACGGAAAGTTTTTAAAACATGAAGAAAAAAAACACCTTGCTTTCCTCTACTAGTCCCTCTATCATGTCTTTGCAGATTACAAAGTACAAAAGATTATATACATATGAAGAACGGCACATAGGTATTACATTATCTCAAAGAGCAGTTATGAGCAATTACCCAATCTGGTCTTCTGACCATCCCTAAACACCAATCATTTAATACTGAAGGCTGACCTACCTTGATCTATTATTTTACAGCTACACAGAAGTACACAAATTCCCTCCCCYACACCCCTTCAACTTCACCTTTTAGAGCACAACTCATTTCAGAATAAATTCAACCTTTCCACAGAGCTACTGGCCACTCCTACAGGTAAGGCCAAACAGCTTCTTGAATGGCACCAACCAACATTTCCAACCAGCAACAATACAATACATAGGTCACTCAGAAGTTGAAGGCATTTACTGGGTTCCTGGGTTTTTGCATGAATGCCATGATCCTTTCCACACCGATTTAACAAAAATTATTTATTTTAGGCTGTTTTACCAAGGGCAAGAGCATTATTTTTGACAGTCCTTGGTACTTTGGGTTTTCCTAGCACTACAACTGAGCCCCCCCACCCCCTCCCCCATTGTAAATCACAGCAGTCATAAATCAGTTATTAAGAATCATGCAAAAAGCCACTTGCAGCAGCCCATCGTACACGGTCAGGCACAAAGAATGGGAGTGGTTTCTATTAGTACAACCCATGCTTCCCCACCCTTCCCCTTTAAAGATCGAACATTCAATTATTTTTTCAAAAGCTTATTTTGTTACAGAATGCAGTGTAAGGGTATCAGAGGACACATTATCCGRAACAAGTTTTCAAATACAAGAGGCTTTCCCAAAGCTTTTATGTAATAATTTCAACACAGACCGAGTAAGTATGTTTATTGTTTTACAGCAGAATGCCCCAATTTAAGAACAAAATTGCTAGATGTTCAGCTGTGCAAAATGGTACATAGTGCTTCAGTACAAGTGGAAAAGAACATGATTTGTTAGCAAATGCTTTCAAATACAATTTAATGGTCCTAGAAGATAGGACTTGAAACTGGGGGACTGATCCACAATAAAACCATTTTTTTTTTCTGCCTAAATTGGACCTAGCTACTTTGGACCCAGAACCAATGCCACTAGTTCCTCACTGCTGTAAAGAAAAATTGCCACACTGAATTGACAGATTCAGTGTCTTCATGCATGTGAGAGAGGTGGATCAGTCTTCTATGTCAGTTTCTAGCCCCATCTAGAAGTATCATCTGGCTCTGATAAATAAGACTCACAGGAATTTCTTGAAGGTCAATGGTCCATAATGACAGTTATTCTACATGATCTGCTCAACTTGATTTCCAATTCTATTTAGGCTGTTTAAATTACTTTCTTTAATTCATCGTACAGCACAAGCACGAAAGCACCCCCCATGCCTCTGAGGACATTAGACCATGCACCCTTGAAGAAGGCCTTTCCTCCCTCATCCCTTGCAATCTTCCGCCAGCAGTCAATTGTTCCAGAGTACATGATATCAGCTGCAGGGAAAGAGCAAAGAGTTATTCTTAATTGTTATTTTAGCTCAGATGATTTTAACAACTGCCCTGTTTCACTTAACTGCTTTGTGATGTCCCAAACCACAATTTAACACTGTATCACAATACTTACTAGAAATGTTAAGCCTTCTTTTTAATACCTTTGTTTAATCTGACTATGCAAACAGGCAGTCCTTTTTCTTACTTCATTTTCCATAATGAAAATTCCTCAGCATTACTCCTGACAATCACAAGCCTTACTGCATTTCCTCATTTGAGTATAATATAACAAATCAGATTTATGGAACAATGAATCGTAACTGCTGAGGATGGCTACTAGTAAAAAAGAACCCCATCCTTTTAACAGCATTAACAGCACTATGGATATACAGCCTACCTCCTTTGCGTCCTGACTGCATCATCATTCTACGCCGCACAGTATCAAAAGGATAGGAGACCACGCCGGCCACAGCAGTCACTGTCTGGGCAATCATCCAACTGATAACAATGTGGGTATTTCTGGGATCTGGGAGCATGCCTGCAATAAAACAAAAAAGGCAATTTGCTTTTTATCTTGCACATCCTCCTCTGGTTCACTCACTGCATGACAGCTATTTTATTACTTGACCGAGTGAGAAACTAGATGCCTTGGTTACAAAACATTGTAGAACCATACTTTAAAATTGCAACACAACACTTCATAAACTTAAATATACTGAAGCAATATTTAGAGAATTTCCTTCTTAGTAATCAAAACAAATTAACATTTAAGCACAAGCATTCTTTTTAAACTAGCATAAGAAGAAGTTTTGACCACTCATTACTCTTTTTATAAAGAAGTATCACTAAATTAAGTCTCTKTCCCTGTGGATAACATTACAGTACAAGCTAGCATGAATGACCTATATGCCCAAGTGTCAAGCTTAACAATTCCTTTGCAAAAGCACTGCTCAATCCCATTCTGCTAAACAAACTTGAACTGGTCCAATTCAACTACAACAATGAACTGAACAAAAAAGAACTTATTTTACTTGTGTATGGGCACCAATATACTCTGCTGGCATTAAAAGCAACTGCTTTAAGTACAAAACCAGTACTTAATGTAAGCTGCTGCCATCAACACATGCACAAGCTTTCCCCTGGATACAGCAGCGTCATGGATGTGGCAACAGTATCTCCCTCTACTTTCACATTGCAAAATGAGACAATACAATTCTAAACACAGGTTTTTCAGATCCCCTCTGAAATATTACCTTTCGCTGTATCATAGATCCCAAAGTAGGCAGCTCTATAGATGATGATGCCTTGCACAGAGACATTGAACCCTTGGTACAAGCCACGCAAACCATCAGACTTGGAGATTTTGACTAGACAGTCCCCGAGCCCAGAGAATTCTCTGTCTGCACCAGCTTTTCCAACATCAGCAGCCAAACGGGTTCTTGCAAAATCCAAGGGGTAGACAAAGCAGAGGGAAGTGGCTCCAGCTGCACCACCAGATGCCAGGTTACCAGCAAAATACCTCCAAAACTGAGTGTGCTTGTCTACACCTCCCAAAAACACCTGCTTATACTTATCCTTGAAGGCAAAATTGAGAGCTTGAGTTGGGAAGTATCTGATGACATTTGCCAAGTTTCCTCGCCAGAAAGACAGCACTCCTTGTTCCTTTGGAATACGCACTACACAATCGATGATACCCTTGTACTGCTTATCAGCAGCAATCTGTTTACTTGCATGTTGCACCTGCAAATAAAAATACGTATATTGACCACATGCCTATGCTACAGCTGGCTTAGACTGGCTTCTACTATACAACAAAGCTCTTAATTTTCAACGGCCATCAGTGGTATTGTTAAGAGATGTAAAACTTTCCAGGTTTCTCAGAGCTCAAGACTAGCCAAAATAGGAATTGAGACCCGCAAGTAATTACTGTACAACTGCTTGAAAAATGGGCTGTATCAAGCTGGGAGCCAGTCTCTTCTCCCAGGCAGTGACAGGATAAAAGACATAGCCTAAAGCTGTGCCAAGGAAGATTTAGGTTGGACATTAGGAGGAATCTCTTCAGATAAAGTGACTGGACATTGGAATGGTGAACCCACCGTCCCTGGACGTGTTTAAGACTGGACGTGGCATTTAGGGCCATGGTTTAGTTTAAATGGTAGCATAGGTTGGGCTTCATGATCTTTAAGATCTTTACGAAAGTAAACGATTCTGCGAGAAACAAGGGCAATTATAAGAAAAGTACATCACGACCAGGTCTGTCTAGATGCGAGAGTCTTTACTGACAGAGGCAGGCCTGCAGGCGGGAGTCACTTGAGAGAGCCGCGTTAGGCCGAGAGAGCTACCAGCCAACAGGACAGGGGTTAGGGGAGACGGAGGATCCGCCAGCCCCGCGGCCGGGACCGGGTCCGCGGCGAAGGTCACTCGAGTCACCTTGGGGCGCCACCGGGTCACGCCGGGCCCCGCGCGCGGCCACGGCCCGACCCCGCCCCGCCCGCGGCCCAATCGGAGCGCGGGCGCGCGTCACGTGAAGGTCGCAAAGATGGCGGCGGAGAGCAGCCGCCCTCCCCTCCCCGCCGTGCCCTCTGCGCCGGGAGCGGGGGCGGCAGGAAGTGACACCAGCGGCGGCCGCCCCGCTCGGCTCGGCCCGACCCTCCTTCCCCTCCCCGCCCCGCACGGCGGAACCGGCTTCGGCTTCCCCGCCGCCACCCACGTGACCTTCCCGCCAGCCGCCGCCGCCTCGCCCGCGCCCTTTGTCCCGCAATTGCCACGGCCCCCGCCCCGCCTCCGTCCCTCTGTCCTCGCCCGGCCCGCCGCCTGCGGGGGATGGTGACGGGCGCTGCCCGCGCTCCCGGCTCTCGCCCTCGCCGCTAACCTGGAGCAAGAGCTTGACCCGCTCGATGGGCGCCACCGCGGTCTTGCTGATGGCGGCGGCGACGCCGCCCGCCAGAAAGTCCTTGAGGAAGGAGATGGCCTGGTCCGCCATGTTCGCGCCGCGCCGGAGCCGCCGGGAGTCAGACGCCGCTGCCGCTCAAGCCGAAAGGGCGGGAGCCCCGCCGCGCATGGGCTTAATGCCGGGCAGCGCCGGCCACGCCCCTCGCTACCCCATTGGCCAGCCCGCCCTGGGGGCGGGGCTTGAGCCGGCCGGGCCCCGCCCCGCGCACCCTCCCCTCACACTCCCCCCCGCTGCGGCGCCAGTGTCGCAGCGCCGCGTCACCCGGGCGGGTGCTGCCCCGCCACCGCCCCGGCCCGGCCCCCGCGGGGCAGCCTGGGGTCATCCTGCTGAGAACCCGATTGTCCCGACTGCAGTCGGCTTCCCGAGCGCTCCTCGCAATCTCTGCCGCTCTCGGTAGCTCTCGCACCAGYTTGCACACCCCAGCGGGTCSCTGCAYCGCCYGGCAGGAAGGCTCTGYAGAGGGATTTGGACGGGCTGGATCGATGGGCGCCAGTTGTATGAGGTTCAGCAAGATCAAATGTTGGGCCCTGCACTTGGGTAACAACAACCCCATGCAACCCTACAGCTGGTGGCAGAGTTGCTGGAAAGTTGCCCAGTGGAAAAGGGCCGGGGGGTGCTGGAGATAGGAGCCAGCGTGTGCCCAGGTGGCCAAGAAGGCCAATGGCATCCTGGCTGACAGGACCGGGGCAGTGATCCTGCCCCTGTGCTCGGCACTGGTGAGGCCACACCTCGGATACTGTGCCCAGTCCTGGGCCCTTTAATCCAGGAGGGACAGTAAGATCTTGGAGTGGATCCAGATAAGGCAAATTAAACTGGTAAAGGGTCTGGAGCACATTTCCAAGGAGTGGTTGAGGGAGGTGGGGGTGTTTAGCCTGGATAAAAGGAGGCTTGCGTGTGACATTGCTTTCTACAACTACCTGAAGGGAGGCTGTAACCAGGTGAGGTTTAGGTTTAACATTCAGAACAACTTCTTCACAGAAAGGATGGTGAAACATTGGAATGGACTGCCCAGGAAGTGGGAGTCCCTGCTCCTCTGTATGTCTAAAGGAAGACTGGATGTTGCACTTGGTGCCATGACATGGTGGTTTTGGGTCACAGGTTGTACTTGGTGATCTCAGAATTCTTTACCGACTTAGCTGATACTATGATTCTATGATTCTATGGTTCTGTGAAGCTGAGTGTGAGCTGGTGGAGCACTGGCTTTGGGGTGTGGGTTTTTGGGCCCAGGCAGTAGTCAATGAGTCACAGAATCAAGTGAACTGAAAGACTCCTTCTGTGGCAACTGCTTGAAGCCAGTGCAGAATAGAGGAACAGCTTTCTGCAGAAACTGCTTTTTCTTTTCTGGGAATCCCATGGGGCAGACAGAGAGGAGCAGATTTGGGGCACTGTCTGTGCACAAGTGGGTTTTGCTCCATGCTCACCACCCTCCGGGTAACGCTGATCTATGGCATATCCTTGTTGGCAAGTTCTGTTCCCACCTCTTCCTTAGCACTCCAGTGCCACATCATGGGAATTTTCTGTATGTCACTGAACTCATCCAAGACAATGAAAGGCCAAAGAATTTAGCTACAGTTTCCTGTGGGACAATAGAAGGACAACAGGAATGGGTGGTTCCAGCTTCTTGTATGGGCACTGAAGTTAGATGCCATGGAAACCTCCTCAGCAGGCTGCCAGAGTAAGCACTCACGACAGGGCCTCAGGCCCCACCAAGTCTGGTTTCCATCAGTAACGTTGCTGATTTTATTGTATGCTGAAATTGGTATTTTAAACCTAATGGTCCAACTTCTGTCTAAAATTATACCTGTTCTTTCTAAAAGACTGKAATTGTTMTAGCTGGAGGGCATGRGTTCACACTCACCTGCYTTCACTGCTTTCACTTTTAATGGATGTTTCCAACCAAAGTAAACAAGGCCAAACCTTTTTTTTAAACAGATGACTGGTGAACCACAAAGTTGCAGTAGCCGAGGTGCCAGAAACCACTGCTTACACATGTATGTACTTTGCAAGATTTCAAAATGAGAGCATCTCCCTCAGAGGGCATGTTGTGAGAAGAGGATGTGCCAGGCATAGCTTTTGTCTCTGCTCTAGTACAATATACTGTGTAAGATATGTCACTATACTTTTTCTTCACATACCAAAAGATCCAAAGCAAATTGTGTGCTCTTCTGTGTTCTAAATCATCATACAGATAGAGTGAAGTGACTCCTATGCTCACAGAGGGTGAGGCACATATGGTGTTACAAGACCATATTTTGGACATAATTTATAAAAGCTGTAGTACATGTACTCAGGGAGGCACACACAGCATAGCGTAATATTTTTTCCTTTTTAAAAAGCTCATAACTGAATGTTAATACTCTCTTAGCACAGCACATTGCAAGACTGAAATTTTTCACCATAAAGTTTTCTATTGATTTAAGAAGAACTTTGAGACTCTTGAGTATAGTCGATGTGAAAAATGAAGGTAAATGGCACCTAACTTGTTATGGGAAACTTCAGCCAATAGTTGTCATGTTCTGTTCACCTTGGCAGTTCACCTGCCTATGACTGGTAGAAATCTTTTTTTCTCTATCACCGTACTTTTTCTTCTGTTTCTGCACATTTCTTCTTCTCTTTATCTAATCTCATATTCTGCTATCCACGTGTATAACAGTTCACAAATTAAGTAGGGCTAAAAAGATGTAGGATGATGTTCTTGAAACAAATGTGGTTCCCTCACATATAATCTCAAGTTACAATCACAGAAGAAACTTGTGCTTTTATACAACTGCCTTTTTTCAGAAACCTCTCACAAAGCAGAGCAGGCACTCTCAGGAAGCTGCTGCTCCAGTTCTTGTTTCCAATCCTGACTACACCATTGCAGCAGCAGTTCCCAGACTTGATTAGAGAGTGTTTCTTTATGTTACACCCGCAACATTAGATGGTGCAACATGAAATGATATTAAAATGGATGGTGAGGAAGCATTAAAGTGATATCAACATTAACTTCCTGAAATGGGAAAAGCAGTATGTGCTGGTCTAAAAGGTCTACTATTTTAATTGCACCAAGTATGATGAAACAGTGATTTCTCAGCAGTGTGAATACTGTCATAGGGCTGATGACACCACTTGTGTCCTATACATGTTGTGCAGACACAGAATCTTCTGGCATCATTTTACTGAAGTCTAAAATAAATATAATCGATCTCTCCCCCATTTTAAAAGTAACATCACAAAGCTGACAAAATATTTCTTGTTACATTTCTTGTTTATGGTATGGATGGGAAGTTGAGAATGTATTTGCATAATTACAGAACATCAAACATGAATATGAGACATCCAGACTTTACTACTTAATCCATTTTTTTTTTCTACGTCTTAACGCAGAGAATAACGTCTAACAAATTTCCAGTTATTCTGATTGTGACATTTGTGAATCCATGTTGTTCCAGCAAGGCTCGATACTCAGTGCCACTTCTCTCCTTTCCCTCTGTCTGCACAAGCATGTTCAAAGACTGCAGCAGAGCTGTGCTCCTGTTCTTCTTCTCATCATCCAGCACCATTTCAGCCAGCAAAATCGCACAGCCTAATTTAAAAACAAATATATGCAACAGTTCTAATCCATTATCAGGCAAGAAAATTTCTTCTATCCTATATAGAGGTGCAAACTACAAGACCCAGGTGATTTCCTTTATCATTTATGGATTTGTTCTGCTATTAAATGAATAATCCACTCCTCTCACAAACCCCAGGAAATACCCTTTCACAATATGGAATGATGAAACACTCAATTCAAGTCACATCTCTGTTTTCAGGAGAAAAGGGGATAACTTCTGTACACTTGGCATGAGGACTATAGGAAACAGTAAAACAGGAACAGAGTTGCATCTCTTTGGGATACACTGCTGCTTCACATTTATATTGAAATGATGCCAAGCAAACAGAAGACTGGATGGCAAGCATTACAGAAGCAGAGAAGTCAGTATTTCTCTTAAATATATTCTGTATGTTATTTCTGTATATATTTGGGATAAGACTGAGCAAAGGATGAGAGCAGAATTAAATTATCCTGTTTGCACAGTCTTTTCCTCCATATTCAGACCTGTGAAAGGAAAGAGAAGCCAAGAGAGGGCTACTGACAAAACAAGCATTGCTATACATATTGCCTTTTGGCCTTGCATCTTAGGTGGTGGTTTCATTTGGAACAGTGGGGATAGGAGGCCACTAACTCAGACCAAAATAGCAGCAGTTCCTAGCGATTTTATTCTTAAGTGCTGCATAACATTAATATCTTTCTGATCTTCAAGACAATCTCCTCAGAGGCATTCCAACTTGTACACCTCAGATATTTAATAATCAATAAAATTTTTCAAAGTTTAACCCCTCTCACTCTTCACATCAGGAAAATTTTTCTCAGTAATGCATATTGCTTAGAAAACCTTTTCAGTGTTAGACTATTAAATCCACTCCTTTTACCAGTCAGCAAAAGATACTCAGAGCAACTGAAAAACTCATTTTGTTTATTAATAAGATGAGCTTAGAATTCCTAAGGTGACTGGACTGCATCAAATGATTGTAGAAGAGCTGAGACTGAAACAGACCTGAGATGATCTCTAGTTCAGCCTCCCACTCAGAGCGGGACCGCTCTACAATCAGCTCAGCTTCTTCAGGGCCTCACATGGAAGCTTTCAAAGATAGAGATTCCATAACCTCCCCGAGCCATCTGTTCCAACACTTAATTATCCTGAGAGAGCAAAGCTGTGGTGCATGACCGCAGACACCATGCCCAAGGGACTAATGCTTAGTGTGGTGCCTTAATCACAGAGTACATGGAGGTTGTGTGGTAGCCAAGCACATTGTATTCATATTTTACAATCAGAGACATAGTACTTAGGGGCACAGTATTAAAGTATGTTACAGTTACAGGTGTGCCAACTCCAGGATTTGATTGTTAAACAGCTTAGAGCAGCTTAAAGAACAGCATGGCGAACTTCATGAATGCGACAAGACACACCTGATTGCTGGAATGAGTCTCTCTCAACATACAAACCTGTTAAGCTAATAGCAAGCTTCATGTCAATGTGGAAAAGTAACATATTAAATTAATGCATTTGTTGAATATTTGGCCTTATCTATTTTAAATGCCTCCACAGATGAGATCAGTCAAATTTCTATTCATAAAAACCTTCTGCTACAAAATAAAAACCCCAGTGTGGTAAAATCGGACATTTCCCTGATTTTGTACACCTGAAATACTCCACAGTAAGTGTGTTTCTCGTGATGAGTTGAATCACTGTGGCACAGTTTCTTTACCCATTGGTCAAGGAGCAAAGTAACTCCTGATTAAGCAACATCCGGGACAATGCAACTCTTAACCTTCCTCATTGACCCTCTCTAATTTGCTGAGGTTGCTGATTCAGTATTGGCACCATCTCTTTCACACTAGTTTATTGGGACTATTGCTGTACAAATGACAGGCAGCAAACTCACAACTGATAGAGAAGAAAGATAGTTTGAAAGTGGAACTTTAATCTCCAGAGAGGCTTCCACTACAAAATACACTTTAAAAAGAAAAAATAAGTATCAATGAAATGAACAATTAGAAGTGACATTAGTGACAAATAACTCGAAAAGATACAACATACACCTCTCCAATTAAAGACTGAAGCACGAATAAACTTTTATTTTTTAATTTCCATATAAAATTTTATACATAAATCCTAAAACTCATCTCAATTAATGAGACAAAGCATCTATGGCCATTTAACCATTTCAGAAAACTCCAGAAGTAACAGTAAGTAATATCAACAGCTCTCAGGTGCAGCCTGTGTAGGTACACACTGGGGCTGGAGGTCAGAGGCTGCTGAGGTTCCTCTGTGATGTTATAGGTGTTGCAGGAATATGTTTGAGGTTTATTTTGTTTTCGCTTTTGCTTTTAGAATAAGTATTTTGAAAAGACTATCCTTGAGATGTTTTTGAGTGAAGTACCACACAACAGTGAAAAAGAGGACCAACATCCCCAAGTTCAGGCAGATGGTGCCTAATTCATTTTTAATTTTAAATTTCTGATAAAAATGAGCAGTAACCACTGAACATACTGCAGAGAGAGGATTCTCTTTTAATTTTAAGGTCAAAGAAAACAAAGGTATTAATGTAACTCAATACAGTCTTCTGGTTTTAACCTGATGTGCTATACAGCTGTGTCAAGTCTAAGCTTAATACAGTCTGCACAGGAACTGGACATTAAGATATTTCACACACAGGTGTTTCAGCCTGACCCAGATACTTGTTAAAATGCAAAGAACTCACTCCTGCAGAAGCTGTTATCCAAGGTCTGTAACAACAATGCGTTGGATAAAGGGCCAAAATGATCCTACACTGCCAGTGTGAGCTGGTTCATTATGGGTGTATTGCACAAGGGGGTGAAAATTCAGCATCCCAGATTGCTTCTGGGTACACTACAGTGACAGACTTTTCTTGAAACACAGAACAGCATCTAACAGGTTTCCTGTGATCTTAATTTGTACATCTGTGAATCCATATTTCTCCAGTAGCTGTTTATACTCTGAGCCGCTTCTCTGCTTGCCTTCAGTCATACTGAGGGATTGTAGCACAGCTACAGAAGGGTGCGTCTTCTGTTCATCAAGCACAGTTTCGGCCACTAGCAAGGCACTTCCTGCATTTCCAAAACAACCAAGTGGTTCCATGTAAGTATTTTTAGCTTCAACTTTTAAGTATTTTGTTCACAGACAGTTATTGTGGTCCCCTCAGACAGATTCTTTTAATGGTCTTCAGGGGAAATCAGTGAAACAACTTTACCTTCAGTGATCTCTTCCTGGAAGTAACCATTTAAATGTTAAAAATAAACTGAGAGTTTAGAGCACTGTCTCCAGATGTTCAGATCACTTCCTGCCTATGCTCGTGAACGCAGACTTGCTTTCATTTGAACCAGACAACTCCTGCAAGCATCTATCATACCCCAGTCTTGGCATAAGAAGATTAAGACAGTCGCCCACAATTTTCTTTCATAATTTATAATCAGGATTATACTTTATGGGCTAGATCTTACTTTGAATATTCTCCTCTGAAATAAACTTCAGGGTACAGCTGGATTAAGGAATCAGATATCTCAGAAGTCAGGCTTTTCTGCTTTTTGTCTTCTTTGATCTTTAATACTGCCTGAATATGAGTCAGCAGAGTGCCCTGGCAGTCCAAAGGGACAGCTGTGTTCTGGGGAATATCAAACACGATTGTGTACCTACTACAGGTACCACAATATAACAAATACATTAGAGACCATCAAAAGGAAGGCCACAAGGATGGTGAAAGGTCTTGAGGAGAATCCCTTATAAGGAGCAGACGAGGACACTTTGTTGGTTGAAGGAGACTGAGGAGAGACCTCATTGTGGTCTTCCACATCCTCACAAGAGGTAAAGGAGGGGCAAGTACTTATCTCTTCACTCTTGTGACCAGTGACAAGACTCAAGGAAACTGCATGAAACTGAGTCAGGGGAGGTTTAGGTTGGATATCAGGAAAAGGCTTATCACCCAGAGGATGGCTGGTCACTGGAAGAGGCTCCCCAGGGAAGTGGTCACAGCACCAAGCCTGACAGAGTTCAAGGAGCATCTGAATGACATTCTTAATCATATGACCTAGATTAAGTTAGTCTTTCAAAAAGCAAGGAACTGGACTTGATGATCCTTATGGGTCACTTCCAACTYKAGATACTCTGATGATTCTATGATTCAAATGTAGAAGAAAGTCTAAGAGGCTACATATTTCTCATGGTATGTCTGCATAATTTAGTACTGAACTGCCCCCAGTTTACCATATTCTGGACACTACTGAGATAGAAAAACAACAACAAAACAAACTGCTGCTTCTTGATTAATCCAAAGGAACTTTAGTTAGACTCATTTTATGTATAGAAATAAGCAGATGCTTAATTATTTATGATACATGACTTAGTAAGAAAGACTGGGCATGGCAGAGACTGGGGAGATGATATGGCTGTATTGAAGCCTACAAGTACAGTAAAAGCTTATTATATATAGTTCTATTTGCAGCTTTGTTTCCTTCTTTTTCTTAGTAGGTATTACCATAATTCAAGCAAAAGCTAGTATGACTGAACAGAAAAAATACCATATGTTCATATTAAAAAGCATTACTCAGTGCTCATTAAAGGTACATTAACATGCACCTTTAAGCTCACAAGATGAAAAAAACATACCTGGTCTGCAAACAGCTGATACCTTGCTTAACAGCACATGGATCTTTTCATCAGGCCAGTCATGAAGAACACGTGAAAGGATGTAAAGATCTGCCTCTGGAAGATTATCCTTGAAGAAGTCACCTGTTGAAAAACAGAGTGAGTACATTCCTACAGAAACCATGGAGTACATATTAGAAAATCAAAGCACTTCAGCAGAGGTAAAGAAACTAACAAGAATGAACAGGTACAGGTATGCCCTGATTTCCAGATAAGGAAAGTGTAGTTAAAGAGTAGATCACAGGCAAGAATTCTGTAATAAAAATAGAGAGCAAGCCTAAAGCAGGAAAGGAGACAAAGTTCTTTGTAGTCATCATGTTGATATTTTCTAGAAATTAAATGCCTCAGAGAAGGACATGCAGCCTCTGCTTCCAGCGGTATTTATACTTATTCATACTTACTTAACCACATTCTCCAACAATTTTTTATCCCCACAGACTTGAAAAATACCATTTAGCATGGGTGAACCTACACTGTCTTGTACTAAGATATGTTTGGGGCTGGAGCGGCAGCAAAAGAGCCTTTTCTGTGCTCAAGGATACCAGATATCAGACAAAAGACCATGTGCTACATTTACCTGATACAAATGTCACTGGAGCAGCGTGTTGTCCTGAAGGCTGAAAGTAAGAGGTGTTCGCAATGACTTCTGGAAGGTCAAATACAGTGACCTTGAGATTTGGGTATATTTGTACTAATTCATGAGCCAGAGCTCCAGTGCAACCTGTTAAAAGTTTAAAGAAGTCAAATCAAATATTTTCTCCATGAATTTGCAGACTTTTTTTTAGGACAAGGCCATATATAACATTAAAAGAGAGGCATCCAATCAGAAATAGAGGTAGACAGTTCCACAATTAACATGGCCAACAGGACTTCCTGGTTGACAAAGCAAGGTTTTAAAGCCTGTGGAATGCAGGCATGACTCCTTACTGACACAGAACTGCTAGTGTGACCTTTGATTTAGTACTTCCATTTTTCGGGGGGAGTATCAAAATGTATTTTAAAATACATTTGTTTGTTGAAGAAGAGCACCTCTCATTGTTTAGTGTTTACAAAGCACTGATATATGAAATTTGACAAACACTCTGCAGCAGAGCAAAGATTGTGAAGTTCTGGAGTCTCCGTACAGTGGCAACGATCGTACCACTATTGCATTAATTCCTCTGATTGGATAATTGGATAATTCTTCTGTCCACCTCCCCAGGCACTGAAAATGCTCTTTCTTCAGTGGGTCTTTCTCTATGTAATAACACTCCCTCTGTGCAACTCCTAGCACAGGGCAAAAAAAAATATTCATTGGTCTCCAACAATCTGGTAGACATCTTAGACATTAATATCTACAACAATACACAAACCAAACCCATTGAAAAGAATCAAAACTTGTTCTAGCAGTGCAGTGTTTCAAGTTTGACATCCCAGTAGTGGTGATTCATGACTTTCATGACTTTTGAAAATCTTGGATATGCCTAAGGAGAGCAACAACACTACTGAAAATAGCAATCCCAGCCCAATGCTGTATCACCTGAACCACAAACTATCTTCTTTTCTGAGCTGAATTGTGTAAATGATTGATATAATATAACTGATTGAGACAGTCACTTAAAACTACTTATATACCATTTAAGTAACTCTGCTTTCAATTAGCTGCACTGTTCTTTTATCCTGACATTGCAATATCAGAAAAACAACAGTAGATACTACTACTAAAGCTCTAGTAGTAAAAAAATGTACATATCTGTTAAGTAACAAAATGTGGAACTGAAATCAAGCTTTTCCCTTTAATTTGTATACAAATTCAGTAACAAGCAATACCTCCTAAATCACAAGCAGATTTAAACTGTGAAAGATCAAACGCTGTAGCCACATCTCTTGCTGTCAGGTGAGCAATGCTGTGCATGGCAGCCATAAAACGTTGCTTTACCTCCTGGCTGTGATAATAGTCCTGAAAGGGGGGAAACAACAAAGCAAATAAAAGTTTATTTTCATTAGTTAACTAAAACTATGTAAAATCAAGGCAGTAGGTGCACATGGTGAATACCAGAATTCTAAAATTAAAAGAACAGTTAAAAGTGCCACAGACTATCTGCTTATCCAAATCCTTCGCTGCTACACTGTAGTTATAAGTAAATCTTTGCATCCCCTCAAGAATTCTGATCACACAGATATCTTTTGCAGTGTGTCTCAAAGGACATACACTTGCCTGATTTGAACCTGGAAGGCTGTTAAATTCAACTACTTTGCCCACTGAAGTTGGGCCAGTAGAGCAGCAGAAAGAGGTCATGTGAAAAGTGCTTTTTAAAGAAATAGTATGTCTTTCATATGCATTTACTAACACGTTTGTTCCACAGCAAGATGTCTTCAGGCTTTAAACAGCCTGAAAAAAACGTTTAGGAGACTAAAAGAACGCAAGTGTTCCTTCTTCTTGATATCCTCACAAATTACTTTCATTTCATTCAAATATTTTTTCTCCTGTGATGGGAAAATAACTATATAATTGGACCATAATATAAATCAGAAACATTAAAGATCATACTG